GAGTATGACCATGTTTCTTTTAAATCTTTTTTTTTCAGCTAATTAGCTTTATGTAGACAGAAAAAGGAATTTTGAACCAGAAAACTGGAATTTTTCATTTTGAACTTGTCAGTGTTTAATTATGACAATTTCAGAAAAAATTCCGACATTTTATTGAGACAGAATTTCGATCCTGACTGCGTTTCATAAACAGCTTTGGTTTTGACAAATCTACATTTTTTGTCCAAAAATAGTTGTTAAAAAGTTCATGACCAGCTTTCTCATGGACTTCATCATTCAATAATATTAAATATAAAAAGTCATATCCTAAAATTTTTGTCAATTGCTGTTTGTGTTGTACTCTGCCTTTTGGTACCCACAGGAGGAAGCCAACAGCCTTATATATGCATTTACCCAGTATGTAAATTCTAGGCACCTCCAGATGCCAGGATGGCAGAAGAGCGTGCTACTGGAAAGCAGTACTCCTCGGTGGATAACGCTCTAGAATGGGAGTCAGGAGACCTGGGTTCTGTTCTAGCCTCTGCCGCTCACCTGTTCTGTGTCCTTGGGCAAATCACCTTATACTTCTGTGCTTTGGTTTCCCTGCTTGTAAAATGGGGGTAATAATACCTACCTGTAAAGTGCTTTGAGATCTATGAACTATGAATTATTAAACTACAGGTCAAGGTTGCAATCAGGAGTGAGGGCCTCTTCTGGAAGATTCTTTTCCCCTCCCCACACCATCCGTTTCTTGAGTAGAGGCCTGCAATGGCTATTTTTTTAAAAGTGACTGAAATCCTTCCTACTGATGGTCTTGGAGTTTAGTGATATTGCATTCACTGCAGCGATAAGTCCCAAGAACCCGGTGTGTCCTTCAGTTAACAGGTCAGATGGGGGGAGGGGGCAGAGATGGACAAAACACCAACATTCAGTTTATTATTAAGTTTGCATTTTTTTCTGTGTAGTTTTTCACCTGAGCCATACACCGTTTTACATTTAACATGTATAGTATTCAGGTTTGTTTTGTGCAGCATTCAGGGGTTCCTGGGAAGCTTGGAAAGTTTGGGAATTAGTGACAATCATCTTTGGACTGTGTAGCAAGGCGGTGGGACACCCCACAGCCCCGCTGAGGGCCGAACCTCCCCTAATCCCAACGTGGGTGGAACCACCGGGTCCGGCGCCCGCCTCTCCGAGGTCACGGCCCCAACCCGGAAGTATAAAAGCTCGCCTGCAGAGCTCAGTGGAGCCCAGGCCGGCGGAGAGAGCAGACGTCCGTGGCCGAGCTCCCGCTTGGGAAACAGCCGCAGGCCGCGACCGGCCTGCTGACTCACCGGGCCGGTCGAGCCTACCTCTCGCCCGGTACCCCGAGGAGGACTGGCCAAGCCTGCCCCGTGCCAGGTACCCCGAGGAGGACTTGCCAAGCCTGCCCCGTGCCAGCTACCCTGAGGAGGAGCCGAGCCTGACCTCCGCTACCTACCCAGAGGAGCCAATGCTGGTGGAGAGCACCAACGACACTAAGACGGCCCAGGTATCATACGAGGGGGAGTGTGGAAGTAGCCCGGGGGCAGCTGACCCCAGTCTGGCTGCTACACTGCCAGAGCCGATGTCAGTGTGTTGCGGCCAGGATCCCCACTGACAGCAGCGAGTTTCCATCGCTGCTAGGGTCCCGGGCTGGGATGCAGTGGAGTGGGAGGGCCTGCGTCCCCCCTGCCACCCACTCCTTGGGTGGCAGACTCCCCATTTCCCCTGGCCTAGAGTGGCTGGGCCACTGATTGACTATTTGTTTGCTGCCCAGCCCTGACTTAGGGCCTGGGCCGCCCCAAACTGACCCAGCCCCTGTTACAAGGCCTGGGCCACTGATAGACTGTTTGCTTGCTGCCCGCCCTGACTTAGGGCCTGGGCTGCTATAGACTTTGCCTCAGCCCTTGCTTAAGGGCCTGGGTTTTGGACCTCTTGACTCAGCCCCTGCTTATGGGCCTGAGCCCCTAACTATGTGCCTGTTGTCCCAGACTGCCGCCGGACCAGAGCAAGGCGTTGGGACACCCCACAGCCCCGCTGAGGGCCGAACCTCGGCCCAAACCTACTACAGACTGTCAAATACATTGCCCAGGCCCTGTAGAGCTTCCCACTACGACAAGCAAAAGTTGTTACTACAGACAATTAAACATCAATACGATGCAGCAAATGCATGACGTTCGTACAGTGTATTGTATGTTGAAGTTGGTCAGTCCTCAAGCTATGAATATTTTTAGGGAGAACTTTGCCAACCTGCTTGCTCTCCTGCAGAAGGAAGATAGCAGAGGCTAATGGCAGTTAAAAATGGGTAGGGAGAAACAGTGATTTACTATTCTGCTGTCCTGGGAGACAGTAACAGAATTTCCCTTAACATACATATATGCAAAATCTGAAACATCTGTTTCTCAGAATTACCACAGAAGATATTATGTTAAATATGAGGGCCAGATTTCATGATGTACAATAGGGTCTGTGATGTGAGGCTCCACCACAGCTCTATTTGGAAGGTCCCCAGAGAGGAGCTGACATGCCCCTTGGGTCAGTGATGTGTTTGGGGCAAGGCTTCCTTCCTTCCCTGCCTCCTTTGGGGATTTTCTTTCCAAGGGGCATAAGAAGGAACAAGGCTTATACTCACCTGAACTCGGAAGATGCTGTTGTGCCTGGCTCTTGCACAGACCTCTCTTTGTCCCTCCGTCTCAGCAAACCCACATCACAGGTATACACACTCTGGCCCTTGGTGTACATATCTCAGATTCCAAGCACATATCCTATCAGAAGACCTCACAGCTTATTGTATGTTGGAATCTCAGAAATCATCATTTTGATTAGCAGATCTTCCTAAATGCAAAAGACTGGCTGTTACGAAGGAGACCATGTTGCCCTTATGTTACCTCAGGTTTTTAGAACCCCCACTCCAGGTGGTGTCAGGAATAAATCAATAGGAACACAGCACTTCCGTCTAATAGAGCACGCTTACTTGCATGAATCTTATCTAAAACAGCAGTTTATTAGATTTAAGCACACAAATATAAGCAATAGGTTTAGAACATCCCAGATATTTACATCCGTATGACGAAGTGGGCATTCACCCACAAAAGCTTATGCTCCAATACATCTGTTAGTCTTTAAGGTGCCACAGGACTCTTTGTTGCTTTTTACAGATATTTACCGAACATCCAGAATGGTATTGAGTAATTAACAGCAGGTTTGCAGTAGCCAGTTGCTCACCCACCGAGAAAAACATCTCTCAAGATGTCTTCAGAGGACTGCTCCAAAGTACACTCTGTTAGCTAATCTTTTATAACTAACTTCTACAAAACACATAGGTCATAATGACTCCTACTAGATCATCACTTTTCTAACTTTCAGTAAACTTTGTAATATCAGCGGCATCTGGACTCAAGATTTTCCAACTGCCAAGATGTTTAGTCTGAATTATTTA